CTCACAGTCAGTTGACATTTTGATGATGCACAGTTTGATGAGTTTTTGCAATGTTTTCATCAGCTCTGCTTGTTACTGGCCATCCTGACTTCCCTTCATCAGTGATGCTTTCTCTCCCCTCAGAAAAATGTTTCATCCATCTATACACTGCTATTTTCTTCACGGCATTATCGCTATAAACTTGGACTACCATGTCCCTGATTTCACTTCCACTCTTACCAAGTTTAACAAGAAATGTAATATGCTGTTCATTGCTCTAATTCAAGTTCTGACATTCTTGTGACAGCACACAAAAACATGCAACAACAATAATGAACACCACTCAGTAAGACACCACCTCATGCTGACACAAACATAGCTGCGAGAGACACTGATATACCAAGGTTGTGAAACCTTACCATTTGTTTGTACAGAGCTGCCAACATAAGCACACAACGGCAAGTTTGCAAACTTCATTGTCAGACCTCATAAGTTGAATAAGGGAAATTATATAGATTTGGGGGCACTCTTATAGGATATTAGACTTCATGCCTTGGCAAGAACCGCAGGAGATGGTGCCAACTTTCCCTTGAAGCTTTCTAGGGATGTGGAAAAAGTGATGTCCGCACTGCCTGAAGCTGGAATACTAGAATTGCCATGACAGATAGTAGGAGAAAGGACGAAAGGCACAGAGACGAGCATGCTGAAATGAATATGCGATGCGAAGTAGAACATTCCCCAGATCATACCTCATTTATCAAGGCAATACGGAATGCTTGGTAAGAGGGGCATCCGTGTCACTAACTGAGAAGGTCAACCGTGGCTCTCACCTCCTGTAGCCTAGGGCTGTTGGTAGGAGGGGTCTATATGGAACAGGCCCCTTGATAGAAATGGGGATGATAGGACTCTAAAGCAGAGACTGGGTGGCAACACTTGATCATTAGAAATTGGCTGGGTGACCAGGTGCAGTGACTGAAGCCAATAATACTAGCACTTTTGGAGGCCAAAGCGAGAGGATTGCCTGAGTCCATGGGTCTGAGACCAGCCTGGGCAACATGGTCTCTACAATTAATAAATTAAAAAATTAGCTGGACATGGTAGCGTACACCTGTAGTTTTGGCTACTTGGAAGGCTGAAGTGGAAGGATCGTCTGAGCCCAGTAGGTCGAGGCTGCAGTGGCCAGGAGCGTGCCATTGAATTCCAGCCTGGGCGACTTGGTGGAAAAAAAAAAAGGCCGAGAGCAGTGGCTTATGCCTATGAGCACTTTGAGAGGCCGAGGTGAGAGGATTGCCTGAGTCCACCAGCCTGGGCAACTTGGTGAAACCTCATCTGTACAATAAATCAAAAAATCAGTCAGGCATGGTGGCACATGACTGTAGTTCCAGCTACTTGGAAGGCTGAAGTGGAAGGCCCACCTGAGCTCAGCAGGTCGAGGCTGTGGTGGCTGTGAGCATGCCATTGCCCTCTAGCCTGGGCAACAGAGTGAAACTCCAACTCGAAAGAAAGAAAGGAAGGAAGGAAGGAAGGAAGAAAGGAAGGAAGGAAGGAAGGAAGGAAGGAAGGAAGAAAGAAACTGGCTGGGCATGGTGGCTCATGCCTATAATTCCAGCACTTTGCGAGGCCAGGGCAGGAGAATCGTTAGAGGCTAGGAGTTCAACAAGACCAGCCTGGGCAACATAGCAAGACTCCATCGCTACAAAAAAATTAAATTAAATTAAATTTGAAGAAACCATGTGGACACAATTGTCTTAATGCATGTCAAGGTCAAAGGGACAGTCAGGAGTGTCTGATCTGCAGAGAATGATAGAGCTAGTTATAGATCATGGTGTCTGTGAGGGATAAGTTTATGTGTCAACTTGAAATTGACACAAAGGGTGCCCAGATATTTGGTCAAATATTATTCCCAGTGTTTTTGTGAGGGTGTTTTTGTATAAAATTAACACTGAAATCAATGGAGCTTGAGTAAAGCAGTTTACCTTCCACAGTGTGGGTCAATTGTGGAAGGCCCCAATCAGTTGAAGGCTCAAATTGAACAAAGAAACTGGCCTCCCCTGAAACAGAGGGAATTCTCAGACAGACTGCCTTTGGACTTCATTTGCAACACAGGCTCTTCCTGGATCCACAGAGGTGGCCTTTGGACTTGACCGGCTCCATAAGCCCTCCTGACAACCCGGCCTGCAAGCCTACCCTGCAGATTTTGGACTTGCCATTGTCCATACTCATGTGAGCCAATTCCTTACAATAAATCTCTTTATATATATAAACATCCATTTGGTTCTGTTTCTCTGGAGATCCCTGACCGACACACATCCCTGTCATAAAATAGATGGGTTGCCAAACTGATATACTCCCTCTATTGCAAGGAAATTAATCAAGAACGCGTGATCGGGAGGTGGAAGGCTATTACTCCAATAAAAAGCCATGATCCCTTGCTTAGTTTTTGGAGATGAACCAGTTTTCAGACCCAGAGACTCCTGACTTTCTAAGAGGTAGTGTCTCCAGGAGGAAAGACCACGCAACACTTCAGCAAGTGTATGTACTAACGTTTCCCCCCATCGTTTCTCAAAAAGACCTACAGCCATGCACTTGGATAACCGTGCACAAGGACCATTAAACAGAGGGACCAAACTGTCATTGCTCTTCCAAGGTCTGAAGTGTCGTGTGGGAGTGGAAGACGATGATATTGACGATACTGACTCTGCGTAGATCTAAGCTAACGTGTGTGTGTGTCTTCGTTTTTTGGGTTTTTTTTGAGTTGGAGTCTCACTGTCGCCCATACTGGAGTGCAGTGGTCGCTCCCGGCCACCGCAGCCTCGATCCGCTGGG